TGCAAAGACTGTGCTACCCATAGAGATAATATAATAGAGGAAGCGAACTGTATATTCTTCTGTAAGTGGAAGCGTACGGTTAGTAGACAGAAGAAGACGACTGTTTTGGTCTTGCATCTCTCTCTGCTCTCTGCATTGATTGGCTGCTGCTTGACAGTGTATATAGTAGTAGTCATAGTGTAGAGCAGTAGGTATATATAATGAATTAGAGGCAGAAGAGGGCATTTAAAATAGCCAATCAGGATAAGAGCAGAGAGAGATGCAAGACCAACACTATCTTCTTTCTCTGTCTACCATCTGTATGCGGTCACGGCTTGTTCGCTTCCTCTAATATATTATCTCTATGGTGCTACCAGGGTAGACGTAAATTGTTGGACTGGTATCTCATCCTTTCTGGCTAAGTGATACGATGCTTGCTTGTTAAACTGGGGGCTTGAGTTTGTGTCCCATATAAGCCGATTTTTTTTTTTCCTATAACTGTTGATATCTAAGGTAATCATTCTATCGATGTATAAATTATAATTGTTGCACAAAATTTTTTAATTTATTTTTCTTGTCAAAATCTCACCTGAGATCTCGTGCCAAATTCTCATCTGAGATCTCATGAGAAATCAGATGAGATTTCAGGTGAGATTTGTCAGGAGGGATGGAAGGTGGACAGGGTGAATTGAATGCACCTACAATAGCGGAAAGATTGAAAGCGTGACGAAGAAAAGAAACATGAAGAGCTCAAATAAAAGACTCGTCATTCGAACCCGACACCGCGTCTACTTCACAGTTTAGTAACCCACAATAATCCGACGCGCCAATACCATTACAAGAACGATCATTTATGCCAAGCTTAATAAATGCACTGGAAAAAGAGACCCCTTAGAATATAATGGAAAACTCAAGTAACGAAAATTTGGAAATCAGTGAAATTGAAGAAATAATAAAAAAAAATTCTGGTCTTTTACCAAGACGAACCGATATTCCAATCAAACTCAGTACATTCCGAGCCAACGACGTTAATCAAAAATCTGTAACATTTCAACAAGATGAAGACTCTACTTCTTCTGATGAAGAAACTTTAAATTTTACTACAGTAAACCGAAATTTCAGTCTACTTTTTGACGCTCCGTTCAAGACCAAGTAAGCAATACAAATAAAGATAAAGAGCAGTTATCCGATTGAAAAAATAACACTTACATTAATAAAGATTGCAACAAAGAAAGAATGATTAAAGAATAGAATCCAAACTTATTATGGTGCGATAGTTGCGATAAGAAAAATAAAATACCTAGTATAAACAGCATTAGTGGAGAAATACAATGTTTACCTACATCTCCTACCAAACGTCATGACGGCAGTTAATTAAATCAAGAACGAATAAATTCACTTTTATCGTCGTATCTATAGACATAGATATATATCTATCTATATATTTTCTTTTTAGTCGTTAAATTTTCTCTCTTATATTTTGTTTATAATTTACATTCAAGAAACGAATGATCAAACATAAACAAACAGAAGATCAATGGAAGTGTGTGTGTATCTACAAAGATATGGTATGAACATGTATGTGTCACGTCCACGTCTCCAAGGACGAAGGTTATTCATGCATTATTCCCATATAATATGTAGTACGACACCAAGACCGGGCCATACCCTTTCGATAACCTCATTACAATATTGGCCATCAGGCATGGTGTTCAGTTCAGCTACGGCCGTCTAGTGGTAATTTCTTGTCGTGTTCCTGCCGCCAGTGCCGCCCACGACCCACGACCCCACTCCGTGAGTGTGTCATGGACATATAAAAAATAGACTTCTCGGTCTTACATACGGCGCTGAAGCGCAAGTAGAAAGAGACACAATAGCGAACGTGTGCATCTGTCTCTTTCGCGAGTTGTCAGCGGTGAGGTGGTTGCATCAGACTTGGGAAGTTGGCGCCCGTAAATATTAAATGTTAATATTTTGCACTCATTCAGGGCTTAAACGATTCCTCATTACTTGCGGATTTATCCTCCACTCGTATTTTTATTTGCGGATCAATAGTTTGCGAGATGTTTGCAAAATAAAAAGTCCAAAATGGGCGCGGCGCTGAAGACTAAAAAAACTTTGTTTTAAGTAGTAAATTGGGTTAAAATCCAATTCTACCTGTACGATTCGATTCTTCCTCATTTGCGGATTATAAAGATGTATAAATTAATGTAATTAAATGTCACAAAGTTTGTAAATAATGAATTTAATTATTGAGTGAGAGAATCTAGTAACTTTTGTCTACTGAGTTTTGGTCTAGTGCTCCGTTCCTGTTATTCGGTACATGTCGTTTACTCCGAACAGCGGGTTCTACAAAATATTTATCAGAATAGAAAAGTTTAGTAGGTATTAATCTAGATAAATCCGCAAGTAATGAGGAATCGTTTAAGCCCTGAATGAGTGCAAAATATTAACATTTAATATTTACGGGCGCCAACTTCACAAGTCTTATAGATAGCTGTTTGCGACGCTTTGACGTGTGTTGACAGTTGACACGTCCGTGAGCATGCTTCTGCACGTGCATCGAGAATTTGTTTGTTTCCGCGCGAAATACAATAACTCAAAGTATAAAGTTTACTTTAGGATGATTGTAAAAATAGAGATCCTTAAAAATTTACAAAAATTATTGCGTTTAGTAAGTAACTGAAACGCTGCATAGTATGAAAATTATGGAAACAATAAGCGCAATAATACTCACAGCTCATTAAATCAATGGGCAAGTTTATAAAATATTGAAAAATTATTTAAGAATTCAATAATCTAACAGTTAAAAATGACGAACATAAAATTTTTTTTTTGTGTTTCTTCGTGGAATACTCAAAAACAAAAGAAAATTCTGCTGCGATTCTTGTATTCCAACATTTCGGGTTCACAAAAAACATCTTGTCCAGCTAAACCAATACATCGCACAACTGTAGTTGTGTAACTAGTTTATAATTGTTTTATTCATTATAATATTAATACTGAGTGCATTCATTAAATAAATAAAAGCGCACACAATCGAGCAATTCAAATTTCTTGGGATAAGGCTCTGAAATGATCAATACTTAATAAATAACTAATACTGTGGCCAAGGAAGCACTTCGAATTACTTGACAGCAGAATACGCTCTCGAAATGTAACATACTTCGCAAATAAATGAAAGCGCACACAAGCGAGCGCTTCAACTTACTTATGCTAAGACTCTCGAAATGTTAAATGATTAATAAATAAATAAATGAACGTTTGGCCAAGCGAGAGCTTTCAGTAATTAGGTATTAGCTGCTTAAAGCTTTGTTTATTTATTAAATAAACAAAAGTGCTGGCAATGAACGTATTGGTCAGCTAGCGATGATTAAATTCCTTTAAGTTTAGATAAAAGAAAATGTTTTTAAAAAATGTGCGAACAGAAGATATTGCGTTACTCGAATTAGATTATTATGCATGCATGCTTGTATGTAGTTACTAATACATCAATAAATATCTGAATGTATTTACAAACACAGTAAAAAATGAAGAAAAAAAGAAAAAATTTTAAGTCTCAAACTCACGATTTCTGGTTCCAAAATATACTCCGCAACCAACTGAGCTAGTGTGCTACACGACTGAAGGGATTACAAACTTCTATATGTTGATAGTATTTACCGAAGCTTACCCTCTACTTGTATATGCTTTCGTTATTTAAATTTTATTCTCAATTTAGCATAAATCGTACTTACTCAGATGTTTAACTTTTCTTTCCTTTAGGAAGCAAAGCTTTTAAGTGTGCAGAGTCGTTATGATTCTGTAAGTTCGGCCTACTCCATATTATGCTGAGACTTCCTTTTCTTTGCTATAAATTTTTTATATCAACCGAAATCGATTTGATTGCATACCTACAAACTGCATTTAAAATATTACGTTACATGCGAAAAAATTGTGTGGAGACGTTTGAAAACAAAATATCCTCCACGAGCAGGGAAGTTACTAGATCCACTACAAAGTGTTCCTAAGATTAAGAATTAGATCTTAAGTTATAAATTCGTAAAAATTAGCACGTTGAGTTTTTTTTTTATATTCAAATTAATAATAAATCGTGGTATGTAATCCCATTAGGTCGTTGGGGATTAGCCACTTGGGATTTTGCTGACTAATAAATAAAAAAAAGTGCGGCCAAGTAAGCGCACTGGGTTGTTGGGGATTAGCCGCTTAGGATTNGTCTAAGGCAGGGAGCACGTCATCAGCCTTACTGATGAGTCCTGGCGTGCTCCCGGGACGAAACATCAAATAATCTTTTCTCTCTCAAGTAGATGATCACATTTCCTACACGTGTACGTTTCATACCGAAAATAAAAGTAAGTCAAGTTTAAATACTAAAAAGACAAATCTATTTTTTTTCTTGGTTTCAACGCGGACGTGTTTTTGAGAGTTCGAAATACGGTGTCGGTAAAATATCACACTACCAGATTAAATAAAGGAATAATTCCTCACGTAAAGTCTAGGGCAATCACATGTACTCCGGATGGTACTGGTTTCCTCTAGACCGGTCGCGAACTTAAACCATTTTACCTCCTTGCGTAACCTCTAGAGTGTAACTTATTTTGCTTGTTACGGTACTGGTAACCTTTAGATAGCGAACATGATACTATTCAACACATCCACCGGGTATCCTCCATAAATCTGAGGCACGCCGTGAACAGAGATTAGTAGGGAGATTGCTGACTGCCATGCTACGAAGTGTGCCCACTTTTTTCCAGTGGTTCAAGCGCCCCACCGCGGCCAAGCGGCCGAACCAGGCGCACATTTTTTTTTTATATGAGAANTTCAAATAACCCAATTATTTTTTAAAAAAATAAATCCGTGTTTTAAATCAGCTGGTACGTTTCAGCTGGCAAAAATTGTGTGATATACGGTAGGTGTAACATTTCTGTTTACTGTAGTTTGGTTCGGTTAACAAGCCAAAAAAATTTAAGTTAACAAGCCCTATAACTCGGTTCACGATGAATGGGCAGCATTAGTTTAATAACTAGACGAAATGTTGGAAATCGCTTGTACTGCAATGTTACGAAGTGTCATCCGGTTATTTTGCTGATGCCATAATTACGCATCATTGCTCTAACTATAGATATCCATTTAAACAAAGAGTTGTGTAGTTTCAAAGGCCTCGTCGTATTGTACGGTCCTTTTTTCCGGTGAAATCATAGTTGAAATATAACCTTATATCTTTGTTACTTTTTAATTTTACTAACGATTTGGATTGTTTGTCTTTTGAAATTATATCTCTAAAACCACGACAGACATAAAAAAATTTTTTCCGAAAACTCCAGTGAAGTTTACACATGCATACTTGTATTTAGCAATGTTTCTTCACATAGATATAAGAATTCTTATGCCTCTTTATGTTTCTTACGTGATCTAGTATTTGAAGTTATAATCATGGATTATTCAGATCATCAAACAGATCAAAATAAAAGCACTGGCACCGTTGGTTCTCACTGCTTACAAGGTTAAATTACTAACGCGCTTATATTTTGTTTGTTCTAATTACTGTAATGCTTTATTAATTTAAAATTTATGTGATTTAAATATTTAACCTGTAATCAACAACTTATCAATGCTGGTGGCTGAAATATTTTTAGTACAGCTCTCTATATAATCGTATCCTTAATACATTACCAATAATCAGTCAATCACTAAGTATATTGTAGTCGAAAACTTTAATGTGTGATGATGTCAATGTTTATAATTTACAGATTGGTTAAATAATATTCAGCTTTGATTGCTTTTGTGATATGACTGTATAATAGCAATCTTTTGCAAAATTTAAGTCACTAACAATCATCATTTTGTGTTGGTCAGAGTAGATTTAAGACTTGTGAATTTTATATTATAAAGTTTAAAATAACCTTAGAAGTTATGTTTTCATTTAGAAGCTTCACCAGTTTTATATTTAGGTACCTTTTTTTAGACATGTCCTCACTTTGCTTTTTTTTTTCGAATCATGACTACATTCTAATTCTCAAATTTCAATGCTGTGATTTTTTCTTTGAATTCTTCTCGAGAGCTTTGTAGCTTAGCTGCATTTATTCTTTGTTTTTGAGTCCGGATCTCTAATTATTCAGTGATGGTAAACTCTGTTGTCTACAATAAATAATGAACCTGAATCTAGCCATCTAATCGTATCTACTAAACTTCTAATACCAAATTCTACAGTGTGTTCTCCTAAAACTAGACCTTGTACTGTTTTAATTTAGTGAACCATATAGATACCATGGTCTAATTTTGGGAGTTCATGAAGTGAAATTTGGTATTTGTCTATATAAGGGATACTATTTGGCGACTTGATTCAGTTTCATCAATAAGTAGTTCATGCTTTCCAAAATCACGTGATATGTAAATTGTTTATATTATGTAACTCTGGAGTGGTTCGTCTTGGCAGTAGGTTATAGTTTCAATACAAATTCTTTACCAATTGACAAATATCAGTTAATTTTCAGGTGTAATTTATGCCAAAATCTCATGGAGACTTAAAAATTAGTAAAAGTAATACCTCAATAAAATTAAGAATGAAGTTATTCTTAATAATGCTCAGATAAATCTGATCTGAAAATGTAGTGATTTTAATGAGCTTTGTGTTAACTATTATAGTTTACATCAAATGTTAGAATAGTATACATTATTCAATGAGGGACATTATTTTTATCAAAAGTTTCTGTAATTTGTTTTAATATGCAAAACTCCGTTAAAATTGAATTGCAATTATTCTGAGGTATTACTTAAATATAAAACAGCAGTAAGACAGTTTTTCTCAACATTCTATCATGAAGATAATTTACTACCTTGGTTTAAGTTGGTATTTATCATCAGTAGCTGTCTGGAGAATCGTTTACCATGTCAGCATTTGTATTGTTTCTTTTTTTTAATCATTTGTAATACAAGTAGACTAAGAAATTTATTTGTCAAATTTAAAAAATATTACACTCATGTTAAGAAAAATTTTACTCAAAATAGGCTCTCACCATAAAAGAATTAAATGAGCTTCCAGTGGCTTAAGTGGTAAGGCGCTTGCCTTCCGTCCGGAGGGCTCGGGTTTGAGACCCCGCTCCCGTCACTTTTTCGTAGGTACCTGTGCGGGTTATTCCACATAAGTATGTACCAAACGCTGTAGAGCTCCTCATCAGTATGGTGTAATGCTACCGAGCCATCTGAGAGTAAGGGAAATGATGCCTGGCTCTAGTGTAATGCGTACCGTGTCTTTGGAGCAGTAAGAATCAACGATGCCTCGAATCATTTTTTGAGTATACAGATTCATAAACACAATAAAAACATTTAATATGGCATGCCGTTGTCACAGTATGTGACCCAAGGCCAATCACAAAGACAAAAACCAAAGAATTAAATGTTTCTGTTCTGTTACGGTGGGTGAGAGTCGATCCTGTCGCACACATGTAAGTAGACGAGGAAGAGCATGTTCGTGTACGTCTGCGTATTGTATTCGCTTCATGCAAATTGTGGTAAGGATAATCGAAAGCGATCGAAGAGCCCATAGTGAGAGAAAAGTGCAAAATTTCAGGATTTATGCTGGCCCAATGCACGATTGACAACACAATTTTTAGTGCTTCATCATTATTGGGTCGTCAAACGTAGATGTAATTGGATTTATTATAAGGGTATTATTCGCAATCACTTTATTAAAAATAATTTGAAGTTTGTCGTTTACTAACAGCGAATGAAATAATGTGAGTAACATGATCACATGACTCGACCGAACCGTCACTAATAGTCACTCACGTTACTCTCACGTCACTTTTTCAGTAGAGGACGCTCTGTTCAACGCGCTCGCAGAAGAAGATAAGGTACTAAAAAAAATATTAACATAGGTAAATCGATAGATTTTGATCTGCTCTTTTAATGGTGTAGTCATTTTGGGATTCAAAATTTTTTTTCATAGAAAGAATCACAATTGAAGTGCAGAGCGTTACTGCGGAAAATTGCTTTTTTTTTTTTAAATTTTTTTCTGGCACCATTCAAAAGAAAATGTCTTGAACTACAATCCCTTAAATTTTTAAGTCGAGAGGGCAAAAGGCAAACGAGTGAACAAATCAAAGACCGTAACGCGTGTGGTTAAACGCCAACTCGCGTTCTCTGCTCTACTCTGCTCTATGTGTTAGAGACATGAGTATCTTTCTTCGTACTTTGCAGTAGTCAACTACAGCTGATTTATTCATACAAGTCATTCATTTATCTCAAAATCACAATCTGCTTCCCATAAATATGCAAAAGTATCATTAATATCAGGAAAGTTTTTGATTTCGTTACATTTCTCTAAAAATTACGCATTTGTTACTCAAGACGCGGCGCAGTCTTTTTATTACAATAACAATCAATGCAGTTTAGCAACAAATGTAGTTTATTATGAAGAATCCGATTTACAGTATAAAAGTACTGCGATTTTCTCAGATAACTTGATTCATGACACGGTAGTCGTACATTGCATACAAAAAATATTAATTGAATTTTGAAGAAAAGATTCAAATCGGTTGATATAGTTTTATAATTTACAGACGGAGCGGCCCAGCACTTTATGTATGCATTATTTTTACAATATTATTGAGTTATAAACTTTTTTGATAGAAAATCTATTTTAAAAAATATCAAACGTAACTTAGTATCCATATGAAGTGTAGCTGATGCGCGGTGCTCGCCGCGAGGTGGCGTTCAAGCGCACGCGCCACGGTCATTGATTGCTCACCACTCGTTTGCCTTTTGCTCTCCCAACTTGTAATTGTAAGGGATTGTAGTTCAAGACTTGCTCTTTCGAATAGTGCCAGAAAAAAAATTTTAATAAAGCAGTTTTCCGCAGTAACGCTTTGAACTTCAATCGTAATTTTCTCTATGAAAAAAATTTTTAATCCTAAAACCAACTGCATCATTGAAGAGAGCAGATGAAAATCTATCGATGTACCTATATTAATATTTATTTTAGTACCTTATCTTCCTCTGTGAGCGAATTAAGCAGAGCGTCCTCCACTGAAAAAATGTGTCGCACGCGCCTAGTAGCTGGAGCTCAATGGAATTGCTCACATATTCATTATCAACCTCCCAAGCTTGTCTTGCATAAATTGGTGGTTGTAGCTAAACTGTCATCCTTGAAAAAATGTAAGCTGAATATTATTTTAAAACATTACTGGATTTCAAAATAAGTATTAAAAGTACGGGAAAAATAAAAAAGAAATGTCTTGAAATCAAAAGTCTGTACATATGATTATGAGCATTAAATTGCACTATTTAATTGAATAACATGAATAGATAACAATGAAGCAAGAGTCTGTCAAATAGCATATACTTAGAGGCTATTCCATAACGTGTGCGTACAGTCAACTTAGCATTATGGAGCGTTCCAAAAGCAAAAGTTCGCCACGCACGCGGTGTACTAGTTTAAAGCGATATTTCATAAAAAAAACATGAAAATACCTCCTAATTTCTCGCGTGCCTCATGAATCATAACCGTAATATACACATCTAAGCAAATCATTTTTATTTTTCTAGTTCTGTTAAAAGTGAATTAACTGTGAATTAATAAAATCATTTATGAAAGCAAAAAAATTGAAGATGAAAAAGGGTTGACGTTTTATGTGACCATATCATCGGAGCAATTATTTCAGGCTCTTAACAGTAAACGAACTATCTTTGGTAAGATTTTAATATAGATCAGTGTGTGTATGTAAATATACATTCAAAAAAAATAATGTATAGATCCAAACTGCTACGCTTACTTGCTGAAGATAACTAAGAAAATGTATGGAGAAGAACCTAGGAAGAGCTCAGATGAAAAAAAAGTGAAACAAGGGTGAGTGGTTGCAACGTCAACGAAATTTTAGAGTTCTCTGACGAAGACAAGGATTTTGAAAATAAAAGACTTCAAGAATTCGTTACTGAATAAGATACGTCAATCCAACCATGGTTAAAAAGCACCGACCCTAGACAAAATACATCAAAGCAATCATCACCTTTAATGGATCTGAATAATAGAACTTCCAAAAAAAAAAAAAAACAAATAAATAAACCAATCAAAGAATAGTTGTAATTCTGTGAAAAATCAAAATTAAATTACAGAAGGTGATATATCAGTTCCTCAAAAATATATGAGGTCTCCTTTGTCAATTACAAAATTGAATGTTATGAATGCAGATACCGCTATCTGCACTAAACCGATGATTTTGTTATTGCTATTTTTTTTTTTTTTTTATTGCTGCACACTTATAAAGAAAACAAATCAAAATTTTCTACATACAAAACTAAAGCCTGGGAAAAATCAGCAAAAGCAACAGAAACTTACAACTATTCTCCATCAGCTGAAAAGTGTCGAAATAAGTTTGATATTCTAAAATAGAAGTACAAGAAAATAAAAGATAATAATAATTCTGGAAGAGGTAGAATGAATTTTGAGTTTTTCGCGGTATTGATGTATTACAGTATAGTTACTATTGCTGATTATATTTTTTC